CTTTCTAAGGCCCCTACACTTATAGAAAGTGGACTGATCCACATCACTTCCTGTCTTATCTCAGAACAAGAAACAATTAATAAGAAAAATCATACAACAAAGATAACCTGCAAATAAACTCTGTATATATTAATAGAAAAAATATAAATTTAGTAATAAATTAATACAATTCAAATGGATAAAATACATATTTTAGTCAGCCTCCAGCAGCAAGAATCCTCCCTGCAATCAACAGGTTTATTGAGACTCTAATAAAAATTAAATATTTATGTTGACAAACAGGATATAAGCAACAGGAAAGAAAAAAATAATGATCTAAATCAGATTTTCTCTAAAAGGTTCAGAATATTTACAGATTAGATAATTAATTTCTGGTTTTTACCTCTAGATTATAAAATATGTTGATGGTCAGAAGTAAAATTCAGTCTAGAAACAAAAATCGTCTTTTTTGTTAGGTTTCAAATGTTCTTTTAGATTTCTAATCACTAAAAGTCAAAAATGACGTTTCCCTTGTTCAGGAAGTGACGTTTCTTTTTCTACGGTTGGTATTTCCTGGTGGGTTTCCCTCAGAGGAGGAGGAGGAGGAGGAGGAGGAGGAGAGTGGAACTGACGCCAAGAGGAGAAATTTAATCCACACATACCGGAAATGATGCCTTTTTTTACCTTTCAAAGTAAAATCTGCAATTAAAATAGATCAATTAAAAAAAAAAAAAAAATGAAAATGGGCCAGAAATTTAAATCAGACAAAGGAGAAAGATCTGACTTTGAATGAAGAAAAAAATATTTTACATCAACAATTTTTTTTCTTGATTTCTGTTTGTGTGTCATTTTATTTCTGTGTATGTGTAGAAATGTCTTAAAAATTAACTATTTCTAAATAAATGCTCTTTCTAAATTTTCACATCAGCAGAACAATAATAATGGGTTTAAACTAATAATAAAAAATATATAATGAAGGGGTGAAACTGTTGTAACTGGCCGACTGGTAATAATATGTATTATTAACGTAGACATGTCAGAAGTATGTGTGAGGATATATTTAAATAAAATAAGACTCAGATTTATTTTAAAAACATGTGGATTAACCTTTTTATTTGCTTAATTTTAACTAAGTTACACCTAAAAATACACAGAATGATATGATGTTGACATATTTTCCAGATACCGTGTTTATTTTTCCTCTGACGAGTAAAATTATAAAAGAAAATTGAATGTAGATAGGAAAAAAAAAAAGCTTATCCTCAATTAAAAATAGATCATTAAAAAAAACTGAAAGTGGTTCGGAAATTTTAATAAGACACGGGAAAATGATCTCGCTTTAAAGAAAAAAAAATATATTTTACATCAACAATCTGGGGATTTATTGATTTCTGTTTGTGTTTCATTTTATTTCTGTGTATGTGTAGAAAAATCTGAAATATTTACTTCTATTTCTAAATAAAACAAATGTGCACATCAGCAGATAAAATAATAATGTAATAAAGTTTACTGGAGAAATGTTTTCTGCTGTGTTCTAACTGACCTATTGGTAATAATGTGTGTTTTTAATGTAGATATGTTCTGAAATATTTAAATAAAATAAGACTCAGATTTATAAAATAAAAATAAATAAAAAAATCACGTGCATCTCTCTTTTTTTGCCTCATTTTAACTAATACATACAAATACAAATAATTAGATTAAGTTGACATATTTTCCAGATAACGTGTTTATTTTTCCTCTTTCGAGTAAAAAAAAAAAAAAATTAATTAATTGTAGGTTTATTTTCAATTCAATTCAGTTTATTTATATAGCGCCAAATTCACAACACATGTCATCTCAAGGCACTTTACAGTTCAACCAGATCAAACAGTCAAATAAAAAATAAAAAATATTTATTTATCATTTAAACCAGTTCAACCAGATCATACAGTCAAATAAAAAAAAAATATTATTTATCATTTAAAATACATGCCTTGTTTCTCAAAACGTGGAAACATTTAATGTAAAATCTTTGAGAGCTGGGGTGCTTTTATTTTGAAAGATTCCACCGGAAACAGTTGGTTTCCATCTGCGCCATCTTTCCGGTTGGTTTGATTAGACCGGTTTTATCGGAGGAGGACACCGGGTTCCCGAACTCCTAACGCCCGTCTGAGGAAGAGGAACGCCGGCTTGTCACCTCCACTCCACGGAACATCGAGTTCGGCCTGTAAGAAGGGGAACATTTCTGAGTTTTTTCAGCTGTTAGCTGTCGGTGTTTGGAGCTAAAAACGCTGTTAGCCACATACGGGACTGAAGTCGGTGTCTGAATGCTAGCTCCAGACTAAAGGCTGTGTCACAGTTTGTCAAAAACGTTTTTCTCTGCATTAAATCAGCTCATTTTAAGGATCAGATGTTCTAAAGCTTTTATCAGCTCTTTGATGATTTTCTTTAGTTTTAATTAAATGTTAAAACTGCGATTTTATCGCTTCTCCGCTATGTTAACCACCCTAGATAAGTTTTTAAAAATTCTTCAATTATCATACAGACCTGTAAATACTGTAAAATAGATAATTATATGTTTAAGCAGTGAAATTATTTATGATTTTATTTAAGGGTCAAATAAATGTAAGTCAGAAAGTGTAAAAAAGGTGTAATAGCCCTTTAATGTCACACGAGTCAGAGGCTAACTTCGGGCAGTTCTTTTACTTTTCTTTAGTTCTGTCAGTTCGGGTGGGATCCGGTTTAAAACCGATCCCTTCTGAGTGGAACGTTCTCACGGTGTAAATCTAACAGTTTTTATTCTATTTCCAGGTGCAGGGAAGGCAAAGAACCGGGCCAGGACCGTGTGGTACCGCTGCGAGCCGAAAGCCAGGGAGGGAGGGGGGGTGGGCCACCCGGATCCACACGGAGTAACAGTGAGCCGGGTCATCCGGACCGAGACCTCATGAATGGAAATCGGAACAACAGGTGAGAATGTGGCGTCAGAAGCCTGCGTGTGTTTCTGATCAACCGGTCCCACTGGTTTCCTTCAGCTGTCTGAGGCAGGAGGGGATCCGCTCAGGTGTGTCTGAGTCTGAGAGGCTCCAGAGACCTGGAGTCTGAGAGGCTCCAGAGACCTGGAGTCTGAGAGGCTCCAGAGACCTGGAGTCTGAGAGGTTCCAGAGACCTGGAGTCTGAGAGG